AGTCATTGATATGGTTTAAGTTTAAGTTTACTATCTTGTTGTTTTCTACTTGTCCTATTTGTTTTTTGTTCTTTTCCTGCCTTTTTTCAGATTAAGTAAATATTTTTAGTATACCATTTTGTCTTCTGTTTTATCTTAGATATCATGGTCATTCTGTTTCATAACATAAATCTCTATCAAACTCTTCATTCAAATAATATGTAAAGCGCAAGAATCTTATTACAGTATATTTCCACCATCCCTTTCCAATCTTTGTCATATTATTGCCATTAATTTCACTTCTACATTTCTTACAAGTTCCACGACTATTATTTTTTTTGCCTTAAACAATAATTTATATTTTAAAAATTAAGGTCATTTATATTTACCTACATATTTACCATTTTTGCTCTCTTTATTTCTTCATATAAATCTAAGTTCTCAGAAGACATCATTTCTTTTTGTTGAAGAACTTTAACTTTTTAAAAAATGTAGTCTGTTGGCAATAAATGCTCATAGGTTTTGTTTGTATAAAAATGTTTTTATCATGGCTTCCTTTTTGTGAGATATTTTTACAAGAAATGAAATAGTATACTGACAATTTTTCAAAGCACTCTAAAACAGTTGTCTCATTGTCTTCTGATTAAAATTGTTTTTTCCTCTGTATGTAATGCATCTTATAGCTACATAAGTTTATCTTATTGATTTTCAGAAATTTGATTATTACAAGTTCCAGTGCAGTCTTTTAAGTAATCATACTTTAGATTTGTTTTATGAATCCGTGGTTTTATAATTTTTGTCATAGTTGCAATAATTTCAGCCATTATTTCTTTATTTGTTTTCTGCCCAGAAGCGGAAACTTCCTCTCCATATATTCAACCACATCAGGGAACGTTGATTTCATCTTTTTCCAGAGGCAGACCTCCCTTCTTGCACTCCCTTCTTGCTTTTGTCCCAGAATCTGCTTTGACCGTAACCTTGGGAATTCCCATTCCCTCCCCTGAGTTGTATTCTGTCTTCACTCACTCCCTAGTTTTGGTAAAACACATCTCCCAGCAGCCTCCTGAAAACTGTGCATTTTTGCAACTTTTTAATATCTGTAAATATCTTTCTATCTTCTTACTTGTGGAGCCCTACATCAAGGACACAGGACAAAAATTCTGGAATTAACCAAGCCCCCATAGCAACTGTTGCCATGTGCTCTCCTAATCTAAACTGGACAGCCCCCCAACTCCATATTAAGTAAAATAATCACCATGTAGTAACCTTGTAGCATCCTGACCAATCACCTAATGCCATCCTGCCAGCAGGAATTTTCTTTATCTTGAGGCTATAAAAGTTGGCCACTAGCCCACAAAGGAGGTCGGCTCTCCCTGGTCTATCAGGAAGTTGGCCCGCTGTATTTGCAGCGCCCCTCACTAACTCTGCTCTTTCTTCTCAATAAACTCTCTTTTCTAAAATACCTCCAGCCTGGAAATTCTTCTTCCAGCCCACGCTCGGACCACAACATTACTGGAGTTTTGCCAGGATACAGAATTCCAAGTGGAAAAGTACTTTCCCTCAGAATTTTGAAAGCCTTGACCCACTGTCTTCTGGCTTCTGGTATTACTGCTAAGTCTGAAAACATTCTAATTCTCCATCCTTGGTTTTGAGTGTTTTCTTCTACTTTACCTTCTCTTCATTTTCATTCTTTTCTTCCTCTTGGTCCTTCTCGTATCTCAATTTCTCTGGCAAGCATAACATTTTTTAGTCATTAATCTCTAATAAGTGGCCCCTCTCGATCTGACAACTTCAGTCTGAGAAATTTGTTTTAATTTCTGGGGTTTTTAAAACTTTTTACTTTGTTTTATATTTTTGCTAATAATTTCCCCCATTTCCTAGACGTTGTTCCTTAAATTCTTACTATATGGATATTGTTTCTTCCTGACTACTCCTTTCATTTTCTCTTGTTTTGACTCCCCTTTTCCATTATTTGGTTTTATTGTTCATTTTATTACTCTTCATCCTTTCAATGTCCTTAGATTTATTTTCTAAATATTTTATTTAATTTTTCATTTGTTACCTATATTTAATTTCCAGAAGCTCTTTTTGGTTCACTGAATGTTCTTGTTTTGTTTTGATTTGTCTTGTTCTATAGCCTACTATTCTTGTTTTATATATGTATACTCTTCTCATCTTCTCAATTACTAAATGACTAAAAATAGGATATTTATTACATATTTTGAAATTTATTTATTCTCCCAGGATTCTATGGTGGTATTTGTGTTTTCCCTTAATTCCTCTTTTCTATATGCTTTTTGTATGTCCGTTACTTGGTTCCTTCTTTTTCTTGTTAGGAAATTCCTTAAATGTCTAGTGATCACTGTTGTTTGAACATATGTAGGAGTGAAGTACTCAAAAGCTGTTTGGGACCTGAGTGAATGCAGGAAGCTTATTTTCACATCCTATGTACACACACACACACACACACACACACACACATGCTTGGCCAAGAATGCTTCCAGTCCTAATGTGTGTCTACCAACCAGTCTTGCTGCACCAACCAGCCCAATACCAAGGGAGCCCTTCTGGGTGTTCCTGGAGGGTCCCCACCCCACCATCTGGATCACGCAGTAGCCTGAGCTGTCTCTACCAAAAGTAGGCAGAGGAAACAGTCTCCTGCGTCTCCTGTCCCCCAACTGCTTCAGTAACTCACACTGACCTTCTCTGAAACTGCACAGAATCAGAGGATTTCGCTTCCAATGCTTCATTCCCAGGGGGCATCAGTGGGTCAGGAGTCTCTGCCACAGGCTAATTTCCCACTCTTTCTTCCTGGGCAGCCAGAAAGTGTTTATTTTGGCCAAATTCACCAAACAGTAAGCCTATTTTCCAAGGATGGGGAGAGGGACCAGCCATGGATGTGTGGAGGGGTTCAGGGAATCTAACTGCTTCTCCTCCAGACTTTTAATCACTGTTCATATTTAGTACCACGTAAAACCCTACTTGCAGAGGCATCTGGTGCCTCTATTTCCTGCAACTTTTGAGGCTCCATTGCAGAAAAGAGCCTGCTTCTGATTTGTTTCCTCTCTCAAATGTTACCTTCCTTCTGTCTGTTAAGTCAGTTACCACCCAGCCATCTGCTTTCTAGCTTCCAAACTTGTATTAACGTCTCCTCATCTACCATCTCCTTTGTCTTGATGAGTGAAGTCTTTTTATGCATTTCTTATAAATTTTCTAGAGCATCAGGAGGAAATGGAATGCATTTGTTTAATGGAAAGCTTCCGAATTCACCTTGTAAAGGGTACTCTAAAAGACATTAGGTAATTATTTCCTAATGTTTACTCCCCTTGTTACATAGATACTGGAAGACTGGAAGTCTTCTGAAACTAAGCTGCCACTGGAGAGGCCCAAGATTCCCAATTACATAAGTTAAATAATTATAGAAACATAAGGTAGAGGATGTTCAATTCCAGTTCACTTATTCAATAAATATGTTTGGAGCATCTAATGTGTGGAAACAATTAAGGAACCATTGCAATAGTGCGTAAGTGGACCGAGGAGAATCTGGTCTGAATTAAGACAGTAACTGTGGAGAAGGAGGGGAGCAAGTGAATTTTAAAATATATATTTTTAAAAAAGAAATATTTTACAAACTTTGCAATCATTTGTTTGGTCTATGGCCTTACATTAGTTTGCTAGGGCTGCAATAACAAAATACCACAAACTGGGTGGCTTAACGAAAATTTACTGTCTCATCGTCCTGGAGGCCAGAGTCCAAAATCAAGGTGTTGGTAGGGTTGGTTCCTCCTGAGGGCTGTGAGGGGAGTATGTGTCCCAGGCCTCTCTCCTGGCTTAGAGAAGACTGTCTTAATGTGCATGTGGCATTCTCCCTGTTATCTGTCGGTCACCACATTTCCCTTTTTTACAAGGACACGGCTCATATGGGACTAAGACCCACTCTAATAAACTCATTATAAGTTGATTATCTCTATTAAGACCTTATCGCCAAGTAAGTTCACATTATGAGGTACTGGAGGTTTGGAACACACGAGTTTTTGAGGGATACAATTCAACACATAATAGTCCTCTTCAAATGAAGGATGAGTAAGTTGGTTTAAAAATGAGTAAAAATTTTAGTTAAATTAGAGTGAGAATAACACAAAGCCTGTCACATTCAGGACTTGCAATTCTAAAGTAATGTACCAGAGCACACCTATTAGATGCTCCAGAAAAGTGCAAATCATGTCCCTAAAAGACCCAGACATATTTTGCCTTTTCCCCAATCACTACAGAAGCAACCAAGGTTCTCATCTGTCTGTGTACCACAGGTATGACTACCGATGAACTTACTGGCTTAGAAACACAGGAGTTAACAGTACATCCTCAACATAGAATAATAAAGCACTTTTTAAAAGTAATAAAATTAAAATGTATTTAAAAAATAGAAGTTATAATTTGGTAAATTATAAGATTTAATTTAATTGTGAGTTTATAGAACTTTAGACCTAAAAAATGTATCATGGAGATCATATAAGCCAGAGATTTCCAAATTGGGAGGTGCTTCAAAATCACCTGGAGATCTTTTAAAAATACACAGCTTCCCAATCCCCACCCTGCATATCCTGAATAGAACTTTCACAAATGCATATTTTTTTAGAAACTCTCCAACTGATTTTATGCAGAGTGCCTGATCCATCTGCCTTGTTTTTAAGTTGAGGAAATTGAGATCTTTTGAACAAAATCACATAGCATAGGATATATTTAATTAAAAATGATCTAGTTCTGTTTATATATGACTCATTTCATTTTGATCAACTGAAAACCCGGGGATTAGTGATAACTACTTCAAGAATACTTTCGTTGATACAGTCAATGATGCAACTATTCTTATATTTTGGCAAGATAGTTTAGAGATATTTACTTCCATTTAGCAAAATTTTTAAGGTCATCAATATTTAATGTTGGCAGATTAAAAAATAAATAAATTAAAAATCTTCTAAGGAAAAAAGAACAATTTACAAAAAGAGATTTTAGAAACTTACAGAGGATGTCCTATCTACTTCACAACGGCTGCTCAGAATAAAACAGGCCTCAGCATCATCCATCCTAAATGCAGATGGAAAAATAAAATAATCACACACTGACATATCTGTGTATATCTATGCATTATCTGCAAAATAGAATTCCAGTGCATATAAAGTACGTGTAAACTACGGACATCCTTAGGTTTAAATGAAAGTAGGATTTCTAGGATCGTGACTATATTTGACTGTAAACAAAATAATTGTTGTAGATTGGCTATATAACTCAAGAGCTTATAATGACAGAAGTTAAAAAAAAGTCAACTTTTATTTTCTCTTTTATCATTATATATTTTTTTCATATATATACTTTGTGTAAATTGAGGGAGTTGTATTAGCCTTTAGTTTAGATGGATTACATTTTGGCTTCAGTATGTCAACAAAACTAAGAGAGAGGAAACAAAGCTGCTTAGTATTTGTAAGCCAAACTCTACTGTACATTTATATTTCCTGGAGATGAATCATCAACTGTTCAAAAACCTTTCCTTTCATGCTAAAGTTCTATATTTCTTAAATGTAGTGATAAACAGTAATTACGCTTCAGTGCTTGATAAGTTATGTTCTAAAAACATAAAACTGTATTTTCAAAATAAGGAATTATTTATCTTTCTGGTTCATTATGATAAAAGAATTTTTCTCCAAAATATTTTCTATGAAAAATCCATGGAATTAGACCAAACCAAACAGTTCTGGAAAAATGTGAAGTAGTCATGGTTATTAAGACACTATGAGCATTGTATAACATTTTCTAAACGTCGTCTTCAACAGAGCAATTCAAAACTCATACAACTGACCTTTGGAACTGGTTTGGAGAATCCTACTCCTTGTTTCTTGCATGGGGAATTGTATTGAAGAATGTATTACTTAACATTAAATCCCAAATCTTCATGTGACATAGGATAAGAAATGAACATAGAAATGGTGCCTTCTTTCTTAATTCAGCTTTTTGAGAATTACCACCCTGCTACCTCTCACTCATCCACACTTTTCTTTTTTATTCTTATGGAGGAATGCTTCTTGCAAATGTGACTGATTTTGCTAAGAAACCATTATTAACACTATTAATACTAAATGAGTGTGTTAATCCTAGGTAGTATTGAGCTAAGATACTAATAGCCAATCCTAATGGCTTAGATTAATTTATTAGGTAGTCAAAAGACTTCATTTATCACAGAAATTCATACTGACCATAATATGTGCATGACTCATTCTTACCATATGAAGAACTTAACTCATTATAATAAATTAAGCATATTGATTACCTATGCAGATTAATATAAAGATCCAAGTTATATTACTGTCTAAGCAACTATTTCTTTACGGTTCCCAAATAATAAGTATAGATAGCAAATAGCAAACACCCGTGTTTTACTTGAGGTACTGGGAGAATCTGACTTATTCTAGAACTGTCATGTATAGTGACAACATATATGAAGTATGTAATCCACAACAAATACTAATGTTGGGTGGGCCAAAAGGTTCGTTCAGTCTTTTGGGTAAGATGGCTCTAGTATGGAGAAGGTGCTGCGACTGATTGAACGTGTCAAAAGTGGTTTGCGAAGTTTCGTGCTGGAGATTTCTTGCTGGACGATGCTCCACAGTCGGGTAGACCAGTTGAAGTTGATAAGGATCAAATTGAAACAATAACTGAGAACAAGCAACATTATACCACGCGGGAGAGAGCCGACATAACCAAATCAAGCGTTGAAAATCATCCGCACCAGCTTAATTATGCGAATCGCTTTGATGTTTGGGTTCTACATAAGTTAAGCGGAAAAAACCTTCTTGACCGTGTTTCCACGCGCGATTCTCTACTGAAACGTAATGAAAATGTTCCATTTTTAAAACAAATTGTGATGGGCAAAGAAAAGTGGATACTGTACAACAATGTGGAATGGAAGAGATCATGGGGTAAGTGAAATGAAGCACCACCAATCACACCAAAGGCTGGTCTTCATCCAAAGAAGGTGATGCTGTGTATATGGTGTGATTGGAAGGGAATCTTCTATTATGAGCTCCTTCCAGAAAACCAAACAATTAATTCAAACAAGTACTGCTCCCAATTAGACCAACTGAAAGCAGCACTCAATGAAAAGCGTCCAGAATTAGTTAATATAAAACATATAATCTTCCATCAGGATAACACAAGACCTCATCTTTCTTTGATGACCAGGCAAAAACTGTTACAGGTTGGCTGGGAAGTTATGATTCATCCGCCGTATTCCAGACATTGCCCCTTCGGATTTCCATTTATTTCAGTCTTTAAAAATTCTCTTAATGGAAAAAATTTCAGTTTCCTGGAAGACTGTAAAAGGCACCTGGAACAGTTCTTTGCTCAAAAAGATAAAAAGTTTTGGGAAGATGGAATTATGAAGTTGGCTGAAAAATGGCAGAAGGTAGTGGAACAAAAAGGTGAATACGCTGTTCAATAAAGTTCTTGGTGAAAATGAAAAATGTGTCTTTTATTTTTACTTAAAAAACTAAAGACACTTTTTGGCCCATCCAATATATTCTCAAAGAAGCTTAGTTTTCCAATTACGTACCATTCATTATATCCTTTTTTGTTTCAGAAGTTATTAAATCTTTGGGAAAATCTCAGTTAAACTGACCTATTATATATAAATCAAAACTAATGTCAGAGTTCCTGTTATGAGCTATCTAGTCATCTTTTGCAGGAGTAAGCAGCAAAAAGGAGTTTGGAAATTTTCTTCTGTTCTTTTCCGTCACCCACACACCCCCTCCCCCATACACACACAGAGAACATGCATAAAGAAACACAGAACATACACAAACACATGGAGAACATGCACCAACACACCCACTAACACACATACTCAAGCGATCTGGAAAAAAACCAAAACAACAACAAAGAAAAAAACACTTATGTCATGAAATTGAGGGAAGATACTTTTAAACCTAAAAGAGTTTGTAGGACAACTCAAGGAGAAACATGAAGATACGTTTAAAACTTGTAAAACAAGAGAAAACATTGAGCAAAACTACCTGCGCTAAGGATCTCTTCTGGCTTCTGAAACTAAGGATGCTGTTTTGCAGATGCCCGGATTCGCCAGTGTCTACAGCCTAACCAATCATCCTCTCACTCTGCCCCCATGAAATGACCCTCATGACCTGTGACAAATGTGTAAGACTATGTCACCTTTAAGCTGGGTGGGCTGGCATCTACACAACAAGAAGAGAGAAACTAAGACCCCTGTCACCTTTCTGATTCTTCCAGTTCCCAAGGACTCTTTCATCTCAGACACCGGGCAACACAAGTGTTACCCGACCTGTATATGATACAAGCTCCTTAAATTTAAACCCTGACGCGAACTGCTTTGGCATCTCACACAATGTTTAGCCCAAGATTTTTATCTGTGGAATAAAAACAGTATCCAGGGATTTGGAGATGACTCTCCTTGAGTCTGGATAACTCAGCTCACCTCCCAGCAGCCTGAGATAATTACGCGACACCACACTTCTCACCGTGTTGTGTGGACACCGTCTGCCAAACACCCCTGCCCTGAGAAAGAGGAGCAAATACGCAGATTTTATATTTTTAACCTTCCGATTTGACCAGCAGTGGGATGAAAGCAAAAGCCTGTATTCAAAAACACATCTTGCAACACTGAAAACTGCTAAAATTTGGAGGAGAGAAAAGATATTAAAACAGTACAAGATGGAAAATATTGAAGAGATATACTCACTTTGCTCGCAGCAGATCCTGATCTTTAAGGGCTGAACCTTGAAGGTAGATGACTCTTTGTGACCACATCGGAATCTGTAGGACCCTTCGGACCTGCACATCCATTTCAGTAGGACACAAAATCACCACATAATAATCCTACTCAAAACAAAGGGGGCCGTGGGTTAGAGACAATAATGCTTTGTTTTATACTACGTAGGTAAATAGAATATCTAAGGACATTTTGAAATATGATAAAGTAGAAATGAACTCTTAATAACAAATAAAAGTTTGCATTTAAAACCTAGCATTAAATAAAATGATTCAGTAATAAACATAACAGACATATAAAAATCTCATAAATCAATATATTCATCCTGATCTTTTTCAATTTTCAATTTTATTAGTACCAGGAAGGGAAGGTAATCGGTGCTTATACTCAGCATTTCCAGTCTACGAAGTTTTCAGTTACGACTTCAGGCTGATTCTAAAAGATAAATTGCATACCAGCCAGAAGTCCTAAGGATCAATTCATACTTCGAATTGTTACTTTTAGAATAAAAACTGTGATGGTGATTTGTATCATTTGGTAATATTATTATGAACTGATAATATTGAAAATATTCTGATGAATATCTGAATGGAAAAAGATTCACAAAAATATTGATAATACTGACAAAGTAACTTAAATTTAAAAGTTTGATATCAAAATATTTCAAAATAATGGTCTTTTGGAGAAAATAAAAAACAATCTGTAAGAATTTAAAATCTATAAGAATTTAAAATAATTTATCTATAAGAATTCAAATTCTCTGGTAAACACTCACCATTTTTTCACTTTATAATATATCTAGTAGGAATTTTTGGAGTTCTAAGAATTCTCCATATTGATATTAGACAAAATAAATTACTAGGGATCAAAATTTGGAAGGATCGAATTTTCCCCCAAATAGATTTTCTTTGTGGGTTATAATACGCATCTGAAATTATTTAATATGAATAATAAAAACCTAACCATTAAATTTGGAATTCCTGCAAAAGAGGAAAAATAATTTATGCAAAAACAGAAGAATATATTATATAAGTATCACTTCTAAATTAGATTTTTTTAAATCCAAAAAAATAGTATTTTAAAAGTTCTCTAAAATATTCAAGAAAAAAAGCTCTTTATTTAAGGGAGAGATAATTGATGCACTCAGCACTGTCTTGACCTCAGGATTATCCAAACTCTTGCCACTAATTTATTGGGGAAACACAAGAAATTTAAGTAGCTCTTTGCTGTTTGGACTAGATTAAGTGCCTTGAGCAGCAAAGGAGATGACCTAAGTCTACAATGACCCAGAACCATGGCAAGTGGAAGAAGTATCTGAGGAGTTCGTCTGCATAGACAGAAGAAGAGATTTTTCTGAATTTATTATCTCAATCAGCAAGTTATTTCCCAAATTTTGGTCACTTATTGTTACTATAAATAAGACCTAGTTTCACTCCAGGAAACAAAAGGAAAAATGGAACTTCCAGACTTCCACATTTCTATCAGCAACACTTGATAAAATTCTGAAATATTCAAGTGAGCAGATGATATTGCAATGATTCTTTCATTGTTTTATTATATTTTATGTTAAATTTCACTGTTTCATAAAAATATCATTTATGCATTACCCAAGGGAGAAAAAAGCAATCATTTTAATCAGAGGAAACCTTTCTCTGTAGCAGTAACATAATTCCATCTGTCTTTCAGTATAGATACAGAAGGAAACTTAACATACTGTGTATTCCTCCAGCATTTTTTTCTATGTTCCTGGTTATATTTGTAGTTCTTCATTTTCTCATTCTAAATTTGAGTGTATAAATAAAAATCCTCCAGAACACAGGCTGTACCATGATTAACTGACTTTGACAATGTTAGTAGGTATGATCTGTTTAAAGGTACCTGGAGTCTTGGATGAGCATAGAATTCATTCAAAAAGTCCATGAGTAAGTCAATCTTCAGTGAGCTGACACACAGAACAACGTGCTTTTCAGTTTGAGCTCTGTGTCGACTATAGTTTCCACCTGACTTTTGTCTCTCCATCCACAAATAGGCCAGCTGTTCAAACTGTAATGCATTTTCCACATGTGAATGAAAGACACGGGACATAAAAATAAAAATAAAAATAAATGCAATACATCTGTTGTTTATTAAGTATACTCAGTTTCTTAGATGAAAGTCTTTGAGATTCAAATGATCAGTGTTCCCTTCAATAAGAGGCTCTTCACAGGATGGCTGCAGAGCTTGCTAATGCCTCCCAGGGCCTTCAGGTCTTCAGGAAACACAGTAATATGATTTTCCTATTGTACCATAGCAGGGCACTAAGAGGTCCGTGCCTCTGCTCTGTCCAGTAGGGTATGCAGCTATATATGTCATACACTGAGTCAAAGAGAAAAGCCTCACTTTTTTCTCCCACATTCTTATATCAACTTCAGCCCACATCTCCTGCAAGGGGAGATACCCTTACCACCAACAAAAGGCCACATTCTAGTTATTTAGTAGCTGGTATCTAAGGGTTGTGGAGTGTATAGGGGAGGGGTGCCATTAAGGATGACATGTATGATTGGATAGGAACGGGAAGATTTTTTTTTTTTTTTTTTTTGGGTGCGGGGGGCCTCTCCCTTTTTTGGCCTTTCCCGTTGCGGGGCACAGGCTCCGGACGCGCAGGCTCAGGGCCATGGCTCACGGGACCAGCCGCTCCCCGGCATGTGGGATCTTCCCGGATCGGGGCACGAACCCGTGTCCCCTGCATCGGCAGGCGGACTCTCAACCACTGCGCCACCAGGGAAGCCCGAAGATCATTTTTATACCTATGTAAAGTATATTTCAATACACTGTGTCCAATGGTTCTGTAATGGAACATGCAAGATTTATTTGTATTGGCCACATCCTGTTTCTGACCTGCCCACCCATGGACACCCAGAGTTCATTGCAGGAAAAAGTTGAAGATTGCCTCTATGTACCTTTAGTCTCATTTTATATCTCTGTCTGTCCCTTTGCTATCTTCTTATCCATTCTCCAAAATGCTGCATGATAGCTATGTATCATCTTCAGATTTTGTTTTAGTTGACCATCATATGGAAACAATTTTTATTCATTACAACATATGGCTTTTACATGTATTTTCAAGACTCAAGAGAAATCAACCCTTCACAAGTATATTTCCTTGAGCTATCATTCTATAATTTAAAAATATACTATCCTACAATTCTAAAATTAACATAAATACTCTACATTTGAAAGAAAGCACCTTGAAGAATTGAAATGAAATGAGAGCTATTAATTGTGACTGGAGGGAAAAAAAACTCAGTGTTTCTAATACAATGCAAAAAGGCATTTCTGATACAATTGTAATTAATTGACTGGATGGAACAACAGCAGGTGTTAATATATTATTGTTAGATTAACAAGCCACCCTGCAATTTTTATTAAATGTGGAAGATTTGATTTCATAAGACTTTGCAGGTTCCTATAAAATTTAACATGGTTGTGTTTACCTGTATGGGGAGAACCACGAGAGCAACACAGATCATGGCAACAACGAAAAGCTTGGACGACCATGTTTCTGGAGTGACATCCCCAAAGCCCACAGTAGAAAACGTCACAATGCAGAAATAAAGGGAGTCAAAGAGATTCAGCTTCTTTCCTATTCGTTCCAGATGTTGGATTCCACAAATGCTAAAGAAACACATGTGTATTTCAATTAAAACTTTCAAATTAGGCACACTGCTTCTCATCATGACTCTCTTGAAAACCAAAGTGCATTTCATAAAGCCACTTAGTAGTTAGGATCTTATATGGAACAGTATTTTGGTTGAGGAAATATAATTTTTAAGCTTTTTTACCTACATCAAACAGATATAGTCTTATTTTCATTAGTAGCCAAAAATTGTAGCCAAAGTATCACAAAGTATATTTGAATAACATGTAAAATAAATAGACTGAATTTCATGGGTGACTTACACAAACATTTTGAATGCGTGTCAAGGAAACACAGACACCAGAATTCACTAGATCTCTTCCCCATCAAAATAGCAATTGTCAGGGGGTGGTGGTGGGATGAATTGGGAGATTGGGATTGACATATGTACACTAACATGTTTAAAATAGATAACTAATAAGAACCTGCTGTATAAAAAAAGTAAAAAAATAAAATTCAAAAGAAAATAGCAATAGTCAGTAGTCTTTTTTTTTTTTTAACAGAGAGACATTTTTCAGTATATACATGTGGTATAGATATATGTGTATATATTCCGTGTGTGTGTGTGTTCCATACACAGTCATCCTTCAGTATCCCCTGGGGTCTCGTTCCAGGATCCCCACAGATACCAAAATCCACAGATGCTCAAGTCCCTTATATAAAATGGCATAGTATTGATATTTGCATATAACCTATACATATAACATATAACCTATACAACCTTCTGTATACTTTAAATCATCTCTAGATTACTTATAGTACCTAATACAATGTAAACGCTATAAAAATAGCTATAAATAAGTTGCAAAGTCTATGTAAATAGTTGCTTGTATGCAGCAAGTTCAAGTTTTATTCTTTGGAACTTTCTGGAAATTTTTTCCCAAATATTTTCAATCTGTGATTGGTTGGATCGACAAATGTGGAACTTGTGGATACAGAGGGACAACTGTATACAGGAAAGGCTTGAGGAGTTAACCATTGCAAGGTGCCCCTAAAAATGAGTCTCTAAGTAGATCGATTATCTGTACAAAGCTATTGATGATATGAAAGTAAGGGAACAGCATAGAAATTGTTATAAGATGTTCCCAAAGTAGAATTCCTAAAATAGCATTAGAAATAGCACTGCTACTAGCTAAAAAAAAAAAAAAAGTAAGGCTATGAAACATGCATATATGTGCAATGTTGGAGGGAAATGAGATTTGCAACATAAAAAATCAGCAATAAAAAGGAATCTAGTACTGACGCATGTTAAAATATGAACAAGCCAAAAAAAGAGTGAAAGAAGCCCGATGTAAAAGACTACATATTGTATGATTCTGTTTATATGAAAAGTCCAGAAAAGACACAGAAAGCATATTAATGGTTGCTTGGGGCTGATGGTAGGAATGGGGTGATGAAAATGTTCTAAAACTGGACTGTGGTGATGATTGCAGAGCTTTGTAAACATATTAAAAATGATTGACTTTTACACTTAACATGAATGAATTTTATGGTATGTAAATTACACTTTTATAAAGCTGTCAAAAAAAATCCCTGTGTGCTTCTGGATACTCCTTGTAACTTCTATACAGAACAAGCAGACACAGCTTGATTATGATGACCAAGAAGATGTGCTATTCACTGTTTAAACTACAGAAATTTCTTTTCCAGCCTTTTAAGATATCTATGTATTTGTCTAAGTTACACATCATAAATATTCAATTATCTTAAACCTTTTTAAGGCAGAGTATATAAGCCACTGGATAGTTAGGAAGATGGGTAGGCACAAAGGTAGATAAACCAAGGGACAGAAGAGAAACAGTAGGGTACGTGTCACCATTTTGCTTCTGAGGCAGGAACTGTTCTGTTCTTTTTCTGTTTTCTTAACTCCAGGTATCCAGAACATTTCAGCAAAATTTCACTTGTTCTATGTTCAGAAATTTTGTGTAAGCTGCCAGGTCATAATAGTTGACTCATGTCAGTTTATTTTCTCAGCTGCCTATATGCAATATACCAGCCAAGCTAATTCTAAGACTATTCAGATGGAGCCTTCATACAACCAAAGAGAACAGCTGTTTGATAACAATAGACCTTTCTGTGGAATATGTTTTTTACTTTATTTAAAATAATTTATATTTGAGAAGGTAAACAACTTTGCATCACTTTTATACTTCAGTAGGAAATAGAATGAGGAAAAATATAATTTATATATTTTTAAGAATTCAAATGTTACTGAAGGGCTTACTATATTTTGCATCACTACACATTAAAAGCAAATCTCTGTTTATAGATAAAACGTACATTTCCTAATTCAGACATGTGTTACAGTGACCAGAACTACCAGAAAAAATCTCCTGCTCTGCTTCCTGGTCTTCAGTTTGTCCTTCTTTTAATGCAACCCATTCATAAAGGCCATATTCATATTCTTTAAACACAGCTTGGATATATCAATCTCAGGTTCAGAAAAGCAACTGGATTCTCACTGTTGAAGAACACTTTTTGTTTGTTTGTTTGTTTCGGTACGCGGGCCTCTCACTGCTGTGGCCTCTCCCGTTGCGGAGCACAGGCTCCGGACGCGCAGGCTCAGCGGCCATGGCTCACGGGCCTAGCCGCTCCGCAGCATGTGGGATCTTCCCGGACCGGGGCACGAACCCGTGTCCCCTGCATCGGCAGGCGGACTCTCAACCGCTGCGCCACCAGGGAAGCCCAAGAACACTTTCTAATTTGTGGTGTGACATATTATTATAATAGCTGCCAATAAATCAATTCTTATGTTCATTCTCCTTTGCAACATGATATTGCTGTACTTCCCACTAAGGTGTACAGTGTGTCTCTCCTTGACCTTGAATTTAAGCTGGCCTATTGACTTGTTTTGACCAATAGAGTATTGTGGAAGTGATGCTGTGTGAGTTGCATAAGCCTAGACCTTAGGGGACACTGAAGTTCTTGTTCTCACTTTCTTGGAAGTCTAAGACCAAGACTTCCAAGTCTTGGAAGTTCTGAAGACACTGAAGTTCTTGTTCTCACTCATGGTGCTGTGCAGCAGCCCCATATAGTCAACTGGAGGATGAGGGGCCATGCGGAGAAAAAACAGCATGTCCCAGCTGCCAGCCAGCACAAACAGCTGCACAGCAGAGAGACGCCATCTTGGACTCAGCAGCACCTGTGAGGCCGTCACGTGACTGAAGCCGAAAGAGTAATCACAGGTGAGAACAGCAGAAAAACTGGCCCAGTCACCCATCACACAACTGTGAGAAACTACGAAGTTTTGGGTTTGGCAGTGGCTTGTTATTCAGCAATAGATACATGGTGCATATAGAATTAACTAGAATCCAGGGGCTTCCCTGGTGGCACAGTCGTTAAGAATCCACCCTGGTCTGGGAAGATCCCACATGCCACAGAGCAATTAAGCCCGTGAGCCACAACTACTGAGCCTACGTGCCACAACTACTGAAGCCCACGCGCCTAGAGCCCGTGCTCCGCAACAAAAGAAGCCACCGCAATGAGAAGCCCACCCACGGCAACAAAGAGTGGCCCTGCTCACCGCAATGAGAGAAAGCCCACACGCAGCAACGAAGAGCCAACCCAGCCAAAAATAAATAAATAAAATAAGTGAAAATGAAATAAAATAAGGTGCCTCTAGTAAAGAGAAATAAGGTGTAAAATAAGGTGAAAAAGTGCAGAAATAATTAATAATCATTTGATAAATCTTTGCAAAGCTTTGTAAGAAAAGAGAATTAACTAGAATCCAAAACCTGGATCTAACCTGTTTTTTCTTCAACGTTTGTCTCACTTATCTCCCCTTTACATGTTATTTGGACTGTTTGCTTATCATAATATATATAACCCATGGCCCAATGTATACTTTTTGCCCAATCTGTTTCTTTCAGTTGAAAATCCTCTTTCTCCAATACCTACAAGAATTCCCATTTTTTGAAACCCTAGCTCAGATATGACCTCCCTCATGAAGACTTCTTTGTATCCCAAGCTACAGTGTTTCTGATGAATTTCTAAAGTATATATGAGTTCATGTCTTAGATAGCTACACTTTTACAAATATGTATATATATATATATTTAGTGTTAAATATTTATCAACCCTACTCAACTATTATCAACCTCGATGACAGTATTTATACTTTATAATTTTCCTACAACACTTAGAACAAAGTGCATAGCAGCTATCCAGTAGCTAACTGCTGAATGAACAAAAGAACACTTAATTAAACCCTGCTCAAATAATATATACAAACAAACTCCAAAAAATAGTTCATGCATGTTTCAGTTTTTTATTACTGCATAACAAACTCCCCCAAACTTAGTGGTTTAAAAAAGTAACAATTTATCATCTCACATGGTTCGGTGGAAAGCTCCTCTGGTTTTCTTGGGCTCACACCGGCAGCTGTGTTCAGCTAGAAGTCTGGCTGAATGGAAGGCTCAGGATGGTCCCACCACTGGGGTCTATGGTCAGGTTTCATTGTTGGCTGTGGCGCCTAGTTTCTCTCCATGAGACCTCTCAGCCTCCAATCAACTCAACCAGCTTCCTTTTTGGCATGGCAGCTGCAAGCCCTCTAAAGACCTAGCTTTGATCTGCCCATTCTATTTGCCAAAGAAAGTCACAAGATCATCCCAGATTGGAGGAGTGTGGAAACAGACTCCATGTCTTCATGAGAGGAGTCACAAAATATTATGGCTATGCTTTTCAATCTACCAAACTGTATACATGATAATACCTATCACAACCTATGTAAATCTTAATAAATTTTGCTGAATAAACCAGGTTGCAAGGTATTTAATTTCCTTGATATGGTTGTAGTTAAATCTATACTTATAATCATTTTTTTATAATCCTTATGCAACATTCCATTTACTTGACCTGGGAAAATCATGTGAGCCTTTCACTTATTTGTTAATATTACACTTACACTTAAAGGACTTGGTATACCTTAATGCTCTCTAAATTGATATGAAAATGAAGACCCCTAAAATGATAAGAAAAT